ATCACCATGACCCATGCGACAGGTATGGTTATTCTTGTAGGATACTGAAGCGGATAACAAACAGCCTGATGTCGATCAATAGCAATACAAATTAGATGAAAAATAGACACTGATGTGAGAAACAGGTCAAAACTTGAGTGCAGCAAACAGAAGGCATCTCCATAGTACCAGCAGCCATCCACAGAACGGATCATACTGAAAGGCATGACCACCAGTCCAAGCAGCAGATCTGCTAGAGCCAGAGACATCACCAGGATGTTAGTGGGAGTCTGGAGCTGTTTGAAGTGCGCAATGGAGATGATGACCACCGAATTTCCTAGAATGGTCACAGTCATTGCAGACACCAATAGGAGATACACCACAGTCTGAGTGGAAACATGATGTGTCCCTCTAAGACAAGAGTTGTTCACTGCAGGAAAACAAAACTGAGTGAGATCGTATTCTTGTGATAAATCCATCCTCTCAGTTTCAGAAAACTAGAACCTATAAAATGCTGTTTTATTTAGTCTAGACAGGCCTTTAAATATTCTCCATCCTCTTTTCTGACTCTCTCACATCATCAAAGGGCAGCAAATGACAATCAAGCGCTCATTAAAAATGAAGAAAATATGCAGTATATGTAAATAAGTTACATCATTTAAATATTCTGGCTTGTCCATTACTCAAATTATTTATCTTATAAAAGTACTGTTTAAATAAAATTGTGTAAAAGACCATATAAATGAAAGCAACGCCATTTATCTCATGACAAAGATGAAAAATTAATTATTTAATAAAAAATCTCTGGAAGTGAACACCCATGATCTGAATTGCTGTCATTGAGATGAATAAGAATTAGGCCTATAGGGCTGACTACTGACACAAAGTGACAATTTGATTACAAGGTTGTGATTTGATTAAATTCTGATCTCGATTCGATTCAATTTTGATCCACTTGATCTACATCAGGTACAGCACAGTGTTTCTCAAAAAATCTCTAACTAATAAAAACTATACAGTAAACTTGTTACTATAATATTAAAGGATAAATTGAACAACTGATTTGTTTAGAAACATTTGAAG